CCCATTTCTAGATTCAATTTTTAACACTAGTGAAAGCTAACGTCTTCATTTTTACATTTTTATTTTCTAAAAGGGGGGTCTCACTACGTTGCCCAGGGTAATCTCAAACGTAGGCACAAGCAATCCTCCTGCCTCTGCTTCCCTAGTTGCTGAGACTACAGGTGTGTGACAGACACCACACCCAGCTCAACATCTTTATAGTAAGGTAACCACATAATTTATCATCCAGACTGGGACACTTTTGAAAGTAACAGGAGACGCTATTAATAATTACATTCAGACAACAGGTACTAACAACAAAACAGGCACATATAGTCATGTAACTTGATAGTAAGCATAAATTGGCAATTCAGATGGTAACTTTATTTATTTTACCACAATATACACATACACATGAACTGGCAAAGTAGTCCTTCCTATAAAAGAAAATATTTATTTTCCCCCTAAACAGTAGGGGAGATTCACTTACTTTTTGGAGTCTTGAAAAGTTAGCATCTAAATCCAATGAAATGTTTTCTTTTAGGTTGATAATTTACCAAGAACCACACAAACTCCTGTAACTTGAGCTCTAGAAAGTTAGACATGCAATACAAGAGGACTAACATTAGACTAACACGCCTATTCTGGTGAGTGAATACATCTATAATCAATTTTAAAATGGCTAATATCTCGCTAAATTGACACAAATGATGTGAAAAAAATAGCACATACTGTTTCTTCTGATCTTGAGGGAGTCATGCTTAATTCTTCCAGTTGTGACACAGAATACTTGGGACCTTATTTTTCAATAGACACTGTAAGAGAAGCTTTACTAATGAGGATTGGCATTTGGGACAATAACTAATTTATGCAGTGATGCTGAAATCCAATCCAGCCTATTTCATGTACATCACATAATTTCTTCCATGTTAGGTGTGGGAATTAAGTTACTGTAGGGAACCATATCAACATCTAAGAACTCCATCAGAATTAACAGGAGTACCACCAGGGGGTACTATAGGCCAAAAAGGAACAAAAGTCATCATATCCAGGATGGGTGAGAGTCAAGATTACAAACCACCCTTGTATTTTCCTGTGGACAAACCTGGATCCTCACATTCACTGCATTTGTTTTCCAGCTATGGTCTTATCCTAAGTGCATGTTCTGGCTTTTCTGCCATTCTTTCCTTCTAAATATCTGCCATCCTCCCTGGTCACCAACCCCACCATTTCCATTCTCCACCTCCCTCATAGATACCTCCCTCTCTACCAGCCCATGTCTTTTTCTGTGTTCACATACTTCCTACTCAAGTCATTTCCTACAATTTACCTCTTTCTGCACAACCTCACTGTTTTACATCAATTATCCCCCAAATAAAAACATTTTCTATAAAGCCTGGTAAGAGAGATAGGGGTTATAATGTATGGTTACTTTAAAATGTTATTAATGGCCAGGCGCGGGGTGGCTCACACCTATAATCCCAGCACTTTGGGAGGCTGAGGTGGGTAGATCGCTTGAGGCCAGGAGTTCGAGACCAGCCTAGCAAACATGGCAAAACCCCATCTCTACTAAAAATTTACAAAAATTAGCCAGGTGTGGTGGTGTATGCCTATAATCCTAGCTGCTCGGAAGGCTGAGGCATGAGAATGGCTTGAACCAAGGAGACAGAGGTTGTAGTGAGCCAAGATCAAACCACTGCATTCTAGCCTGGGCAACAGAGTGAGACTCTGTCTACAAAAGAAAAGAAAAGGTCATTAATCTCTAAAAGTCATTCAGTTTCATACTTCCAACTTGAAAAAAAGACCTTTAGATGAAGGGCTGGGAGCAGCCTGAAGACCAATGCCTGCTTATTTCCCAGTGAGCCCTGTAAGTCCACTTCTGCCCCAGTGGTCAAAGCTGCATTTTCATTTTTCCCCATATTCTAAGCTCCACCTCTATACATTTTAGCTTTGTTATCACTTCTATATATTTGCCCTCCCTATTGTTTTCTAGGCCAATGACAAGTCCTGTCACCTTTCAATTCCACTGATTATTTTTCCAGCTTTAATGAGATATAATTCACATAAAATTCACCCATTTCAAGTGCACAATTCAATGGCTCTTAGCATATTCGGAGTTGTGCAATCATCACTACAATCAATTTTAGAACATTTTCATCACCCCAACAAGAAACTCTGTACCCACTGACAAATCACTTGCAAATCTTCCATCTTCCCTACCCTCTAGGCAACAAACACTCTACTTTCTGTTTCTAAAGATTTGTCTATTCTAGATATCTCACATAAATGAAATCCTAACTGACTTCTTTCATATAACAGAGTTATTTCAAGTTCATCCACATGGTAGCACGTATCAGCGTCACCTTCCCTTTTATTAACAAATGATATTCCATTGTATAGATAGACCCCATTTAATTGATACATGCATGAGTTGATGAACACTTGGGTTGTTTCCATCTTTTGTCTACTATGAACAATGCTGCTACGCAGGTTTAGGTACAAGTTGTTGTGTGGACATGCGTTTTCATACCTCTTGGGTATTGTGATGGGTTGAATTGTGATCCCCTCAAAAAGATATGCTGAAGGTACTGGTTGCTCCAGTACCTCAGAATGTGATCCTATTTGGAAATACAGTGTTTAACAGAATAATCTCGTTAAAATGGAGGCCACTGGTGTGAGAGGGTGGGCTAATATTATTGATGCCCTTATAAAAAGGGGAGATATGGATAAGAAACACACACATGAGGAGAATGCCATGATGCTTCTGCAAGCCATGGAACATCAAAGATTGCTGACAAACACTGAAGCTAGCCGAGGCAAGGAAGAATTGTCTCCTAGAGCCATCAGAGAGAGCACAATCCGCTCACGCCTTATTTGGGACTTCCAGCCCCCAGAAAACACGTTTCTGTTGTTTTAACCCAGCCAGTTTAGGGTGCTTTCTTATGCCAGCACTGGGAAACTAATACAGCTATATGCGTAGGCGTGGGATTCTGGATCATATGGCAACTCTATGTTTAGCCCTTCTGAGGAACTCCCAAAAGTTTGATTAAACTATTTTAATTAATTACTAAGTTTCAAAATCTCCCTCAAATGTAGAAAGGTAACCTTTGCTATGTCTAAACACAACCTCTACATGTAATTTTCTCTTTGCCCTCACCATGGTAACAGTCTTCTTTACCACTGTTTGTTAAACTTTCCTGCTATTATCCTAAAAAAGAACAGTAACAAATAGTTAAATCATCAATGCATTAGTAGGAGGGAATGTATACAGTGAGCTGTGGTTGAGCTGCAGAGTCATTTTAAAGAGATCTATAATAAATGTGAAGATAGGTGAACAGTCAATGGTACCAAACAGCAGGAAACGTTTTTAAAAGGGGGACTTCAAAGCTAAGAAGGTGAAGAAAGAGGTTCCTAAAGGAGACAGTGGCATTTTCTTGAGAGAAGGGAGCCTGGCCTCAATGAATCTGGAGTCCCAGCTCTGAAAAAGGAGTTAGCATGGCTGAATAGAATACGCCTCTGGCAGAAACTCTGAAATTCTGAACGTCAGTTTGTTGTTGTCTAGTAGGAGCCTCAACTCTTCTTCAAACAATAACATACTATGGGTCCACTAATGATGAAGTTACATATCACTAATGATGATGTTAAAGATCTAATTATTCTGAACAGGAATAGAACCTTTTATATAGTTGAGTAAATAAGATACACATGCGTGTGCACGTGCGTGCGCACACACACACACACACACACATAGACACACACACACACACAAATCAAGTGCTATGTCTAGTCGATAAAATTTTAGTATCTAATAAAGTCCATAGATTTTTAGGTCTCTGCATGACTAATAGATGTCAGCTCTACAAGTAATGATTTAGTTCTTGGTCATGTTATAAAAATTAGGGGAAATAAGCACATGCTAAAGATTACTTCATTTTTAACTAATAACGTATTTCTACTTACTTTTTATTTGTCACAGCCTCTTATGGAAAATTAAAGCAGAATGAAAAGTAATAGTGGAGAAATGTCTTCTATGTATTACCAGTAAGCTAACTGCTGACAGTGATGAAAGGCAGGAAAACACCAGACAGGGCACATCATGCAAAAAAGTACAACCATCTGGGATGAGTGAAGACAGAGAGGGAAATGAGAAATCCACAGAACAGTCAGAAATCCGGAAGGCGTCACGGTGCAATCACTGATGCTCAAAACTAGTGAACCTGAATCCTAAAAAGAGTTCATTTGATTCATGTTACTTAAAAAGAAGGTAACAATACAGTACGTTTTAGTACACACGTAGAATGCTATATAAAGTAGTTAAAATTATGGCTGCTGATGATCTCCAAAATTTTAGAGTCAAAATAAATAAATTAACCAACTATCCTTTTAGTTTCCTTCCCCTTTCTTCCAGTCAATGACTAAACGTGTTCTGAAAAGAGAGGACTGAAACAAAAGAACTGCCCAGGAAACCTATGTCTGGAAACACAGCAATCATTGTTTAAAGTTGGAAGAAAGTGAGCACAACTGAAGCCTAGATAATTTACTCGACTTGAAAAACTCAAATTTACTTTCAAGGCCATTTCAACAATTCCTTCCCTTCCTAGCTTCCTTTCATTCACTATAACAAGCCATACAGTCCTTCAGGCCAGTGCTTCTCAAAGCGTGGAACCCAAAGCAGCAGCAGCAGCATCACCTAAAACTTCTAAGAAATGCAGACTCTCAGGGTGCACCCCAGACCTACTGATTCTGAAACTCTGAGGGTGGGACCCACAATCTGTGGTACACCAAGCTGTCCAGGTGACTCTGATGCTTGCTAAAGTCTGAAAACTGCTGCTTTCGGTAACAGGAATGGAAAACACACAAGATATCTGATTTATAGAACAAGACGATTCTTAAGTCTGAAGTGACCAAGGGGGATAGAGGAGAGTCTATTGTGTAAATAGTGCATCATTAGCTTAATTTCTAGATTAAGGCCCAGCTATCACACTTGGCAACCTGTAATAAGTAGTATATAAAGCTGGTACCTTCCAGGTGTTTCAGGAGTGCCCTACTGCTATTTCCATGAGCAGATATCAGAATGGTTTTGCCACGTAATACTTCAGGAGCAATCCGTTCATTCCAATAGGGAAGGAGTCTCTCCAGAACATCCTTTAAGCTTTCACACCGTGGCAGTTGATCCAAGGGCACATCACATACTTTATACCTCCGGTCATTGTAGATTTCATGGTAGTAAGGATGAGACTCCTCAATGGGTGGCGGGGTTATATTGTAGCTTCTTCTCCAGAGCCTCACTTGTTCTTCACCATGATTCAAGGCCATTTGCTCCCTGTTGAGACCAATCAAGGCCCCATAGTGACGCTCATTTAGACGCCAGGAGCTTTCCACGGGAACCCATTCCTGCCCCAGCTCTTCCAGGATCAGCCAGGCTGTGTGAATGGACCGATTAAGGACGGATGTGAACACAAGATCAAACTCAAAGTTTAATGCTTTGAGTTGCTTCCCACAGTTTCGAGCTTCCTCCAGTCCGTCACTGTTGAGTTTCTGATCCACCCAGCTACAAAAACGGTTTTCCTTATTCCAAGCACCCTCTCCATGTCTTAACATAATAAGTTTGTACTTGGACATACTGATGGCTGAACTTCCCAGGCGTTTTCAAATGGGCTAATATTCAAGGACAGCAATACATCTAGAAAGACAAGAGCAAGTCTAAGTTATATTCTTCATTCAACTAACCACTTAGGAATAGAAACATTGCTTTACAACACCCAATTTCTAAAAGAAACTGAAATCCCCTCGAACAGTCAGAAGTCCGGTAGCTGATACACTGGGGCACATATAGGCATATTCTATAGATATTAATAATTCATTACAGGGAACCTAGTTGACTTAAATTTTCTGATGTTTGTATAGTATGATAATTGTGTGATATAAAATAACAAAACACTCATTCTAATGGCATGCTGTGTTTCTGCCAGATACAAAGGCAATTTATGCTTACAGTAGAAAGGATTCAATAGAATGAGTTACAGACATCTGAAAGAATGACTAGTAGCTGGGAATTCCCAGCCTTCCAGCAGCTGACTCTACACTGAAGGCATCCTTTTCACTTTGTTTTCCTGTGGTGGAAAAAGAAGTATTTACCAGTCTCACATTCTTATAACAGAAGTTATTAAACATGTTATTTCAATGCAGCACTGTATGTATCTGTTATGTATCACTGGCTGGTGACAACTAGCTCTTCAATGCCACAGACTACATTACACACAAGAAAATCTAAGATATATAAAACACATTGGTTCAATATTCAAACAGTATTAAAAATGATTTAAAGAGACATTAACACCAAATATGGTACGCACCTAAATAATCTCGCGCCTGCCTCAAGACAGAGTTTTCAGCAGGAATAAATCCGGATGCAAAACAAGCTATCAAATGCAAGCAGCTGAGGGATGCTGCCTGTACAAACAGATCTGGTCTGTAGGAGTGAGAGGAACCACACTGATAAAGAGGTCCCGCCTCCTCTCCAGATATCCTGCACACACCAGCTACATCTTAGCAGGGGGAGAATCTAGTAAAAGGAAACGGGCAACCCTCAAGCTATACTCAAGTTGCTGGCCTGAAGATCTGCTGGGTCTATTCTGTCCTCAGAGAATCTGATGACATGGCTGTTCAGCCCGCCTTCACTCTCCTTGTGGCACTGACACATGCTTGGTTTACATGCCCAGCCTCTCCATCTCTGCTCCAGTGTTTTGCACACTGGGTTGTAAATATTATACAAGCACCACAGCCTGGTCTTCTGCCACCCTTGGCAACTTCCATTAACTGAAGATTTTCTGTCCCACTTAAACTGTGAGTACCACAGTTAAATAACAATCAATGGCAAAGTTAATTGGAATCTAGATCTAGTTTCTACCTTTCTTTAGTAATCCTAGAGATTCTTAAGGGAAAACAGTCTTTAAAATAAGGCTTTATATTTCAATGGAAGGCAAACAGAGGACTTAAGGGAAGAAATCAAATTGAGGTGATTTGCAAGTACAGTCATGTGTTGCTTAATGAAGGGAATATGTTCTGGCAAATAAATCATAAGGTGATTTAGACATGCAAACAACATAAAATGTACTTGCACAAACCTAGACGGCATATATATATTTACTTATGTATGTTTTTTTCATGTGGGAAACCAAGTATCCCAGCACAATTACTGAATATCAATCATTTTCCCTACTTGATCTGCAATGTCAGTGACAAGTGCCACATAACAGACTTCTATATATGCTCCATCACCATCTTACCGGGCCACTATCATTGTGATATATGCTTGACTGAAACATCATTATGTGGTGCATGACTGAAATTGAAAGGCTACAGCAGTTAGGATGATGATTTTCCTGTTGTTAAGTACCAGGCTGCAGTGCAAGTGGAGCAGGGAAATGCCAGGGAATCAGAAGAGCTTGGGCTCAGGACCCAGGCGAAAGCATCCCACAAAGCCGAGAATTCCCAGGGAGGGAGCCCAATGTCTCTGTCCTTAGGCTAGAAGGGGCATCAGGGTGGCAGAACAGAGAAGGGAACAAAAGGTTATCTAAGCAGTGTTTTGCCAGGTGACTGCCTATGTCCAGGGGCAGATTAATAAGGAATCTAACAAAGTTCAAGCTTCAGAGTCCCTCACCTGCAAGAGACCAAGCGATGAATTCACACACACGGAGGGGTGTGTGTAAGTGTGTTAATTTGCAAATGGAAGATATTTTTGCATTGTTCTTTACAAAGTTCCAATCCACCAAGTAGTTTAGAAGCTTCAGCTCTATCAAAAACTGTATTCACCCTTTGTAACCATTTATTGTTATGTTTTATTAGTGGCAGTGGAGAAGGAGGATGGAGAAAAAAGAAGCTATCAACTGTTCCTCTACTTTCACTCTTAGTTTATCTTGTCAAGTGAGAAGCCTCCATAAGCTAATGAAGCTGTTCTCTCTTCAGCTAAAGAAGGGTATGGTTAGACAAATTTTGTAGCCAGAAGTACCTTTCTACCATCTTTTGATTATAAACTATGTCTAGGGGACAAAAAAAATGTAGCAATACCAATATGGACACTCAGGCACCCACCACCAAGCTTTGTGGTATCTCATTGTCCTATATATGCTTGCTGCATTAAAAAAAAAAAAATCTGTTTTCTTTTTACTGAAAAAAATACACACACACACACACACCCTAGAACAGAGGGATAGTACTGCAGTCACAAAAACTACACAAATACATATCCTTCCCTTACTCTGACGCACAGGAATACACTCACACAGGTGAATATATGATAAAGTACCAAACTAGTATGTCTATCTCAGATAAACAAAAGGTCACTTTCCTCTCTACTCCCTGGTACTATCAACAGACTTTTCCACTTAACTAACTGCTGGATATTTATGAAGAAGCTGCTGAGGATTAGTTTGCAAACCTGAAAACTTCAATCAACATCCACTGGAGCTGATTTACCCAGGGTTTACCAAGAAACACATAGTGCTGTAGCCAGTGTGATTTAAAGTTGAAGGCATGGATTGCAAACTCAGATGCCTCCCATGGCCAGGCATCTGTGTGAAGCCGGGTACAGCTGGACTATGGGGAGTAATGGGAACAGCAAACTGCAAGGAACATGAACAGTAAAAATTTTCTTATAACCTCATCTCATTGAGTCAACACCACCATTCTTAGAGCTTTTCTGGAAAACAAAAAGATGGGATTGCTGATACCAAAGACTAGGGCAAATGCAAGACCTAGGGTCAGACCATAGAGAACCTTTGAGTAAATAAATATCTTTTTTAAAAAAAAGCTAAAACAATCATTTCAAAAGCTCCTAAAAAGTCATATAAATAATAAAAGGAGTACTCATTACTTAGCTCCAGCCCACTGCCCTGTGATACTGAGCAATTGGGGTTTCTAGATCTTCCAATTAAAAAAAAGAAAACGTGTATTTTTTATCTGATATCTGATTTAAATATTAGCAACTAATATACATTTGTAAAATGTGAGTGAAACAAAAAATTTCTTCTGCAGGCTAGATCACAGCGGCTAGTTTATGACCACTGACTTAAACGGAAACCTCCTCTAGGCCACAGATAAATGGGGCAGCCACCATACCCCAGGAGACGGTCAGAACCCAAGCATCTGGGCCACTTAACCAGCTTTCCTCTATTATTGTCCAACACAGCCTTTCAAAGGATAGACCTGCTAATCCCCATAATGCTCTGGGCTTCCTTCTCCCTGACCACCTTCACAGCCCTCCCTCACCAAACCATTTGCTGGTGCCCTGCCGAGTTCCTAGCTCTGTCCTCAAATTCCCACTCCACTTTGAGCATCAATTGAGCTGAAAAAGAACTGAACTGAAAACTACCTCTTCCCAGGTGACACTGCTTCTCTCTCTAGTGGGGGGTGCTCATGCCTCATACAGTAGGGTTTGGGTCAGGTGATGGGCAGTAGCCTGCTTCCTCTGCTGACCAAAGAGCCCCTCTCCTCCGCTACCATCCTGGGGAGTTGGGGAGCTTCAATGTTGAAAGTCTTGCTATATTCAGTTGAAGTTTTCTTACCCTCATTTATTAACTGCAAACTAATAATTAAACTCCCTGAAAATTGAGTATTTTATTTTCAACCCTCAATTCTTCCTATTGGTCTTAGGAAAATATTCAGAATCCTTAATGTGACCTGAAAGGCTTTGGTTTTATTTCCTTGAACATGTCAGGTTCTTTCTTGCCTCAGTAGTTTCGCACACACTGTACCCCATGCAGCACATTCACCCTTCATCTCTTCTCTCCATTGCCACTTCAGTCCCACCCTGCTTTAGGTTAAGCTTTAGTCATCCTTTAGATAGCTGTATCCAATCAAGATATAATGCAAGTCACCATGGAGTTGATGGAAAAGTAAAAATAAATAGGTAGAATAAACGGTAATATTTTCTTTAATCCTATAGGTCCAAAAACTATCATTCAGACTTGGAGTCAAAGGAGATCATTTTGGAACTTTAAGGTCTAATGACTGCCTGCATGGGGTCTGCTGTAGCCCCTTTGTTTTGCCCAATTTCTCCCATTTGGAACAGGTGTATTTACCCAATGCCTGTACCCCCACTGTTATCTAGGAAATAACTAACTTGCTTTCAATTTTCCAGGCTCACAGGCAGAAGGAGCTTGCCTTGTCTCAGATGAGACTTTGGACTTGGACTTTTGGGTTAATGATGGAAGGAGCTAAGACCTTGGGGGAATGCTGGAAAGGGCATGATTATGTTTTGAAATGTAAGGAAATGAGATTTGTGACGGGCCAGGGTGGAATGATATCATTTGGCTTTGTGTCCCCAACCAAATCTCATCTTGAATTGTAGTTCCCATAATCCCTGTGTGTCATGGGAGGGACCTAGTGGGAGGTAACTGATTCATGGGGGCAGTTACTCTCATGCTGTTCTCGTGATAGAAAGTGAGTTCTCATGAGATCTGATGGTTTTATAAAGGGCTTTGCCCTACTTTGCTTATACTGCTCCTTGCTGCCACCATGTGAAGAAGGACATGTTTGCTTCCCCTTCCACCATGATTGTAAGTGTCCTGAGGCCTCTCCAGCCATGTGGAACTGTGAGTCAATTAAATCTCTTTCCTTTATAAATTACCCAGTCTCAGATATGTCTTTATTAGTAGCAAAAGAACAGACTAATACAATTCT